CAAAAGTTACTTCTAAATTTATTTGATTAACTTATAGAAGTGTTTCTTTCTATTGAGAAAGCCTTTAAATGAAGTTAATTCATTGTGACATTCTCTAAACAACTCATTCGAAAGAGAGTACTCTTTTAAAAATTAATATTTCTAACATTAATCAATGTAACTTAAAAGAACAATGCTAAACAACCCGCGTCGGTGACCACGGGGATGACCGCACACTCACAGCCTCGACGCGGGTCCCACCCCCGAATAAAATAAACCGACCCCCTCTTGTGTATGCGCGGTCAACCATGTGGGCACTGTAGCATGGTTTAACTTAAAATGAAACTAGTCCAATGTGACATCTTCTAAAAGCTCTTTAAAAAGAGCATTTTTTTAAAAAAAATAATTTTCAAATATTAATCAAGATAACTTTCTCAAAGAACTTCTCTACAAAAAGTAGAAGCAAGAAAGAATTTTTGCCAAACTGGGCCCTTAGATGTAGGAGCTAGTGAGAACTAAACTATCTAGGGCTGGACAAAACTCCCGGATCGGACCGGACCCGACCAGAATCGAACTGAACCGAATCGAATCGAACGATTTTTCATAAGTTAAATACTCAAACGAGTATCTGAATCGAGAACCGACGGGTTCAGTTCGATTCTAGACCCAGAATCGAATAAGAACCGAATTTATATAAATTTTTTTATGTTTTATATTGAATTAATTAAAAATTTTAATTTTTTTTAAACAAATTAACTAATTTAGTAATTAATGTTTCAACACCCAAGCCAAGTCCATGCCTAGCTAGCTCAACCCAACCCAATTTCTAAATTCAATTATTTGATTTAATTTTTTAGTCCAATTATTAATTTCATACTTAACCCAAGATTTAGGCATTTTTAAGTTTTTATCATTCTTTTTCCAATTTCACACTTTCATTCGATAACCACTGAGTCACTGACCCCAAATTATTTGATAAATTGAAAACCTACATCTACATACCCAAATCTAAGCCGTCGACTGCCGAGTCCGACTTCCCCTCTCCAACTGCCCATCGAAGCCGCGACCTCCAACCATGACCACCGATCGTTGACCATTAGAAATCTGTTAAAAAATTTAATTATGGTACGGAATCGAACCCGAACGGTTTCAAAATTATATTTGGATCCGATAGTTCCATTTATTAAATACTCAAAAATTTTGATTCGATTCGATTCTGAAGAGAGCCGAACCATGTCCATGTTGACCTGTGGTTGATTTCATCATTAATGTTTTGATCATAACAAACAAGATTAATATTATTTCTAACAATTGATTTTGAGTGATGATAGTTCAATATTAAAACCAATCAATCATTGCCAAAATCAACACATCATAAATCAGACTCGAAATGAAGATCAAAGTGAAAGTTAAGCATTCAAATCAAATCATTCGAGATGAGAGCTTAAATAATCAAAATCAAGACTATCAAATCGGACTCATGAAAAAGAACAAGATCAAAAGTTTAAGAGTCAAATATGAAAGAAACTTTGAAGCAAGATCAAAAACCATGCTTTCGAGATCATATGTAAAGGTATAACGCTTTATTCTTTAGTAATGAATGACAATAGCTCAAAAATCATTTTGTGCACGAAGAGTTATTT